GTAGCGATACATCAATCTGGCGGGATTTTTTATGGTGGAAAATGTATCTGGGTATGTAGCCTAATTAGGAAGGATCCACGGCACTAACAATTCTAATCCCTGGAACCCGTATGTGCATAGGTGGTAGGGCGTATCTACACTGCGGGGGTGGTTCTTCCTCTCCAGGCGTTCGAGTTGGCCTCGAGCCACCAACACACGTCTTCGCAGCTCTTTTTAAGCTTTCGGCCCGCGACCCACCCGCCACAACCACCCCGCGCCGACTGTTTCGTCTTCGCTGCTGGCTGGAGCTGCTCGACAGCATCACTTCGTTTCCCCTTCTGTAGTAGCGCGCCCTGTGCTCCCTGCAGCGTGCCATCGAACAATTGGAATTGGATGGGCGGCGACTCCCTCCACGGCACCTCTGCTGCTCAACACAACCGTGGCAACCACATCGGGGTTGAATCGGCCATTGGCTTCACCGCTTTGTGGGCGTTAAGGTTCTTTTCGGAGTTTCATCGCGACATTTCTCAATATCTCGGGGACATACAAACCCCTCCCAGCAGGCGAAAATGACACGCTCCTCCTGCAGACTGGACCCTGCCTTTTTTTTGTTTTTGCCTGCGGATCTAGGTTTCGTTTCGACCCCCCGGCAGCGGCCGTGCGATTGAGCGTGGCAGTCGACGCCTAACAGCACGGCAGGGCCGGACAGCGGATAGTCAGCGGCGACGGCTTTGTCAGTGCGCTGCATATGACAGTTTTAAGATGTCCATTCCCCCTCTGCGTTTCTTCAGCACTTACTTAACCACTATGACTAACGTCCGTCACAGGTTTTGGCCTGCTGTCTGCGTTTCTGAAGCGCTAGTTCCTTGGCACGTGGACATGTGCTGGGCGAGATCACCATGTTGCGTATACAGTACATAGCTGGTTGCATAAAACTCCTCGATGGCCAAGCAAAGATTTGGGGGTTTTCCAGGCCATGCGGATCGGAAATTGTTCTCTGCTCGAGAGTTCCAGGCACAGATTTGAGTGCGAAGCGGGGGCCCTAAGAAACTTTGAACGCCCAAGCCTGCGTGGGCGAACACCCCTAGACGCCATCCAAGAGCCCGAGCAATCTTTGTGCAACCCAACCCAGGTGCCGGGACGGCCCTGAAACGAAATCTCACCGACCCGACCCGACCCCTCGGTACTCGCACCGTTCTGCGTAAACATTCCGGCAGCCTCCACACACTCGGCCTTTCTCCTTCCTCGTTGTCTCCCGATGCGGCCTCGCACCCCTGACCTCCCCCTCCCCCGACGTTCGCCGGGCAGTTTCGTCTCGTGCACGTCCGAACAAGGACCACGCCGGTGATCCAAGTTCACATGAAAGGCATGTGGGAGTCGCAGCTTTAAGCTTTGTTATGTTGCTTTTACTAAGCTGCGGGAGATTGCCGCTTCTGAACATCGGGCCTGCAATCCCGACGCCTAACGCAGATCAGTGTCAGGGCTTGCATGATATCTTGACGGCAACGACATGTGCCTCTACAGTGAGGTCGTGTGAATCTGGAAAGGTCGCGTCTGGTGTTGACGCAGGCGCTTGTTCGTGCAAAACCCCGTCTTTAATTGCCGAAACAATCGCATCTTATGCTGTTTGTGGTGGTGCACTACGCCTGACTTGCGAGATGATCACCAACTGTGTGGTAAGAGGGTTATTGGCCGGCCCAGGCCTAGATTTTGTTCACGCATATCCACAACCTGGTGGTCTAGATCTTGACATTGGAGTGTAGGTACGGGTTGAGCACTGTGAGGCCATCTATTCTACTTTTCCATCAACGTCGTGCAGATTTCCAAGATGAAATGACCCTTCTCCCGAATCAATGGCCCAAGATGGGTGACATTCTACCCAAAACGTCGCCCTCTCACGCACCCGTCGGCAGGCAAGAGCACGCCGAGCTGACGCGGGAGATGACGTTGGTCTGGCACGCCTGCCGCGCGTACTCGGGCACCACGGCGACGTCGGAGACGTACGTCTTGGTGAACTCGCCGCAGAACTTTTGGCTCTCGCCGAGACGGCCGCCGATGCTGTTGGACCGCATCGCGCGGAGGCAGTTGTCGGCGTTGCACGTTTTTGGCTTGCAGGCCTCGCGCTTGGTCATCTTGACGAGGTATCTACACGCGGGGGGGGAGACAAGTGGTTAGTTAGCTGGAGGGTGCGAGGCTGACGAGAACAGGTTGGACGAAGGAACATACCCTCCCCGCTCGATCGTATTGATAAAGATAAAACCGGACGGGAACATGGCGTACGACGACCACGAGCCGACAAACGCAACGGTACCGCCGCCGGGCAGGTCGTCGTCCTCGGGGTAGATGTCAAAGTACGCAACCTCGCAAACGCTGCTGCCCGTGGGGTCCTCCTTAACCGACGAGATGTCGTAGACGCGCATGCCGGCGCCGTAGTTGGACTGGTAGATGAGGTCGCCGACGACGTAGAGGTTGTGGTCGATGCCGCGGTTGGCGGCCTTGAACAGGCCCGTCTGCCTGGGCTTCTCGAGGTCGCGGATGTCCCAGATGTACGTGGTCGGGTAGCCGTCCTTGGAGGGCCCGCTGGCGTCCACCTCGTCGTACTCGTCGTCCATGAAGAGGTACTCCTGCCAGTTGACGTCGTTGACCCAGCCCTGGTGCGTGTACTCGGCGCCCTCGTACGAGGTGATGGAGATGATGGTCGAGTTGGCCTTGTCCGTGACGTCGTAGCTAGAGAGAGAGGGGTCAGCTGTGGGACTATGGAAAAGGAATTCATGTGTGCAGAGAGAAAGCATACATGGTCAAGGTGTCCTCGTTGTAGCCGTAGCAGATATCGCGGCCCTGGTACCTGGTGTCGGGGCCACGGTAGATCAAGCATTGGGCCTGTGCCGCGAGGTTAGCATGGCCCTGTCAATGCCGTCACGCGAACGGGGACACGTACATCATGGACGTAGCCATCATTGCCGTTGCAGCCCAGAGCCTTGGGGTTGGCAGGATCCTCGAGGCTAAAAAAGTGCAGGCCGCCCTTGCAGTACTCATCGCGGGGCGCCACGCCCACGGCGACGCCGTACTTGGCCTCCTCGTTGATCACAACGTTGTGGGTCCGCCCGATGGGCAGGGTCTCATTGAAGTGGCCGTGGAGGTCCTTTTCGTTGGTAAACAGCACGGGGGCGTCTGCCTTCTTGACATGGAGGAGCTATGGGGAGGGTCTCATTAGCAGTGCGTGTGGAGGGCGGAGGATTTTGGTTGCTTACCTTCTTCATGTCAAAGATCTGGATACCGTTGCCCTCGAGCTCACTGCCGATAACCATGTAGTGTAGGTAAGGACGGATCTCAGTCCAGTAGGCCATGTTGGCAACAGGCGCCCATTTGGGACTAGTTTGGGATCGAATGGTCAGTAAACAGCACAAAACTGCTTACAAATGAAAAGAGAGCATTCGCTCATTCACAAAGGCCAACTTACAGGAATCCGACGTGGTGCATCCGGCCCTCAGGGAGAATCTCGATAAACGCCACTCCGTCGTACATGCCGCTGACGACAAACTCGCGGCCAGACTCGGGGTCGGTCCACCCCCACGAGGAGCTGCCGCTCTTGCCGCGGTAGTCGGTGTTGGGGGAGCCAAGGGTGGCATGATTGATGAAGTCGTACAGATCAATCTGGTCATGGTCAGCGTTGAGGCTCATTTTTGAGAAGAGCGCTACTAGGACGATCACCGGTGGACTCACGTTCTTGCACCTGAACTTGTGGACCGCGCTGCCAGGGATGGCCTGGGCGAAGCCGTCCACACATTTGGTGTAGTCTAGCCTGGGCCACTTGGTCGAGTTCATCAGGCCAGCCTCCTCCCCGGCGGTCCAGAGCGACTGTTTACAGAGAAATGAGATTAGCATCGTGGCGAAAAACAGCAAGAGTATCTATCACTGGTACGCACAATCTTCCTGTTCAGAAGGTCCTCGTGCCTCTTTCCAGAGTCGTAGAGCTCCCGGGCACGAGCCTCGTCCTTGGGCATTTCGGCCGCAAAGACGGCCGTGACGGCCGTGAGCGCAAATGCGTAGCGCATTTTGGCTTGCTTGCTGGGATGTTTGGTGAGGGTGACGGGCAGAAAAGGGCACAGGTCCAAATCGACTACTTTTGAGGCTCTTAGAATGAACTGGAGCGTCGCGACCTAGCACCAAAAAAAGAAACAGCTGGATCCGGCTGGACCAAAAGTCTGGGACGCATGCAGCGGAACGGACAGGCAAATTAAGAAACGGGCGTATTTATGGAAATCCTGCATTCTGCCGGCCCCAGCTGGTGTCTATCTGCAATATCAGCGACAGCACTCGGGCAGACCGAAGAGCCCAGTCCAGCAATATCAGCGACAGCATCTCGGGCAGCGGTCCAGCTTCCCGAAGAGGCAGGAACCTCTGCGGTCAAAATCTCTTGGCGGTCTTGTCGCCACCCGCACCCGGCGGTGAGGGAAAATGTGTTGGCTGGGGGCTTTGCGTCTGGACCTGCGCCGTCCCGCTGCTGGCTGGTTCCCGGGGCACCCCCTTTTATGGAAGAGGAAGGAGGGTTCTTCTTTGCGGGGTTGGCCAAGGAGCCAAGAAATGCCGGGAGGTTTGTTTTTGATATGATCATGCTCGACTGCGAGTCGGTGGGCTCCGAGCTTGCAAGGGGCAGGGGCTGACTGTGTCTTCCAACTGTCACCTTGACTTAGGCACGTGACCTGTGCCTCGGGAGCAGGGGTTCAAGAGAGGGAAGCATGGCTGGGAAAGGACAGCCGACGATAGCAAACCGTCCCTTGAATTGGTGGCCTTGACTCTTGCATAGCCTCGATCCTCAGGCATCAAGCTGTCGACCTGTCCGACAAGGTGAGCATGGTTAACACGAGCTTCAGGCCAGCGAGGCGCCAGCCAAGCAAGCCTGGCCTATCAAGCCCGGATCTGAAACCCGGGCAGGCGTGGTCTAGACTCCAGGGAGCTCGTCATGGCCAGGTAGAGACAGCAGGTTGTAGGCGCTGCACTGCCGTGTTCCAATGTCGCATGCCGAGGGCAGGGAGCGAGCAGAAATGCGTCAAGGCGAGGTGGAGGATCGATTGACATGGTACCAGCTCGAAGGGCAATGAGCAAAGACTGGGCGTCATTGATCAAAGGTTGGACCCCCACAGCTAGGTCTAGACATGACAAACAGCAGCTAACCAGCTCCGCAGGCGGTTTCTCGCTCCAATCGACAAGCATCGCCGGCCCGTCGAATCAAACATCCATGCCCGCGACCTCTCATTCGCGCAAAGTGCTGGCGTGATCGTGCATGCGCCCAACACCCGACGTTTTAACATGCGCGCTCGCAGCGCAATTCCTTGGACGGGTGCCCCACCCATGGACAGGGGTGGTCGCAAGCGCGACGTCCAACCGGCGCGCGAGCTGGTGGCCCCCCTCGACGATCCCGACCCCCCCGGTAAGCCGGCCGCCGCCGCTAAGCGCCCGGCGCCTATGTCGGCCGGGGGTTCGAGTGGCTCTTGTCGCTCGGCGGCCAGTTTCAGGCCCGCCGGCCGCGGGCAATGGCACCACAACGCGACCCAGATGGGGTCCTCCTTTGCGGCCCGCGGGCTTGCAAGGGGCCGTCGTCACCCAGGGCAGCCTATCGCGATGCAGCCGTGCCTGGTTTGCTTTCTGCTTGTCCTTGGCACGCATGGCCTAGATGGCCGTGTTGGGTGAGTGCTATTTTTGTTTTGTAGATGGCATTCTGGGAGCGAGCATGGAGATGGACGTGTATAAAGACAAGCCGAATGTCTCCCCAGGTCCGGGTCTTGATTCTGTCTGGATCCTCATCAAACCAGCAGTCTTCAATCGTTCTCACGACTTTCCTTTTGTCGGGTTTCCTAGTCGTCTTTCCTAGCTTACCCTTCCTAAACACAATCCTTCTCCTCTACTTTGGTCTCTTTTTCCTCTCGATATCTTGGGCAGGTCCATCTTTGTCTCTCATCAACTCTAGCACACCAGCAGCTGTATTTTCTCGTTCGTCTCGCGAGCTCGAGCCGTTCGTTCCCACGCCTCCTTCCGAGAAACGTCTGAGCCCTGATATCAACTCAACACTCTCTTTCGTGCCAACCGCAAAAATGGCCGCCGGAAACGGAAACACCTTCCGCCTGATCACCTGGGCCCTGATCATCCCCATCGTCCTCTTTTACGGTAAGCCGCCACCTCGCAGATGATCTGTCCAAAGCTCTATGCTAACCCAATCACCACGACAGTCCTCTCCCTGGTCGGCTGCATCTCCACCTCGCCCGGCGTGCCCGACATCTACCTCCTCAAGCTCAACGCCCGCAACGGCCCGACCGAGGTGCGCGTGGGCTACTTTGGCATGTGCGCCGGCACCAACACTACCATGTCGTCGTGCTTGCCCTCCTTCTCGCTCGGCCGCAAGGACGCCGCCGACTCGGGCAACGGCAACAACAACAACAACAACATCTTCAACACCACCGACCCGGCCCTCCTCCGGCTCGTCGACCTGGGCCACGAGGTGCAGGTGCGCGTCATCTTCTTCGTGCCGCTCCTGCTCGCCAGCGTCCTCTTCTTCGTCTCGGCCACGACGGTGGTCGTGTGGCGCAACGTGCCCCAGGTCTCGGGCGCGGCGGCCGCGGGCGCCTTCATGATGCACAGCATCGCGCTGGGCCTGCTGCTGGCCGCCGCCACGGCCGTGTCCATGGTCATCAACGCGCTGCACTTCGCCGTCGTCGAGCTGACGAAGGGCCAGAACGAGATCGAGGTCACGGGAGGGTCCGCCCTGCAGGCCTTCCAGTGGTTCACCGTCGTGCTGTCGGTTGTCTGGCAGTTTTGCATGCTCCGGCAGTACAGGGGCGACGCGAGCAGCCTCAAGTTCTAGGCGGGTGCGCGGGGGGGGACTTGGTATGTTTGTCCCTGGGGGCGTGGTTTAGTGATGAGAGGGATGTTTCCAAAGAACTCTCTCTTCTCTAGTGGGTGAGGGTAGGATAGGGGTTAGTCTGATCACACAGAATGACACAAGCAGACCAGGAAGCTCTGCGGAAAGGATTTAGTTTCGAGTGGGAGTGGTTATGAGCTAGGTCACGGCTCTCTAATATCGAAAATGGCGAGCGGACACGGGAGGATACCGAGCACGTGTGCTTGTGTTAATAGTTGTTGGTAATTGTTCTTTCGGCGTTGTTGGTTACTTCCTACTAAAGACAACCCCTAACTGATCCGGGCACGAACGGCCCACTGTCTGTGGCTATGTGTGCGAGACAGCTCCCCATGACATAAAACGGAACAGAAGGAAACCAGGACAGGAAAAATACAGCTACAACCCTTTGGCGGCCCACAACCATGATGCCAACGTCTCCAATCGTTCGTCCCAGCTTCTCGTCGATCAACGATGTGAACAAGAGACTGGGCAGAAAGGAGCCCAAGGCCGGCTGGATCGGGATGTTGCGCAGACGATGTCTGCGCCGTCCTTGTGCGCCGGCGCAAATGTTGCAGCGAAGTGACAATGTTTGCCCGCGGGAGAGTGATGCGGATAAAAAATAACAAGAAATAAAGACGGCTTGCCACGCTCTCCAATGCTCCCAAATGCTCAGAAAATCAACGCGCAGAGACCAGAAAAAGTCTACGCGTCGATGTAAGCCAACAGAGTCGCAAAAAAAAAAG